GAAAACCTTTTAAAATGTTAAGTTTTATACAATTTCAGCTAGCAATAGCTGTCTCACTCTGTATGTTAAAACAAATATTTTAAAATTACTGCTGCCAAATTATTTAGCTACGCGCTATACCTGATATGTTAGTTTACCATCCTTAGATGACTTTGATCTTTAAACGCACACTTAGTAATTCTACGCAACAAATGAAAATAAAAAAAGCTGCTTAAACATGCAAGCAATAAAGCAGAAAGATAGAAAATATGTGTACATTAGGGTCACCTTTTTAATAAGTATATTTCCTTTTGCTCTTCTAAAGGTTAACTGTAGGGTTTCAGTCATGAATACTGTTGCTGAAAATAGTAATCAGCCTGATATGTGATACATTAGACAAATATGGCAAAAGGGAGGCTCCAAATGACTCTTGCACTCACACGCTTAGCATCACTTTAGTAAGGGATTTAAAAATTTCTCTTTCACTTGTAGGGAAACAGTTTTAGCTCAAAAACTTCAAATGTAGTTTATCTAGCACTTAATGTCCAACCCAACATAACTTTTATGATACTTTGTCATACATATTCTCCTACTGCATTTATTTCTTATTTTATTGGAGTGACATTGGTTAACAAAATTATACAGGTTTCAGGTGCACAATTCTACAGCACATCATCTATACACTGCATTGTGTGTTCACCACACCAACTCAGGTCCCCGTCCATCCCCATGTATGTCCTCTATACCCTCCTCCAGCCTCTAAACCCACTATCACCTCACTGTAGTCCTCCTATTGCATTTCTAAAACAGGTTAACAGCCTATGCCTCTCCTTCTATTAATTAACTTAATTCATTTTACAAACCAATATGTATATTGTCTAACTGTTAAGTTAGACAATGTTTTATCTCTTTATGCTTATTTTGAGGTTTTGAATGTAGCAAAAGATACCACATCATTTTATTTTATAAGATTGTTTGTAGCAATATTTAAGTAGAAAAACTAGGAATTAAATATCACTATCAATAAAAAATTTGTTTTAGGACTCAATATCAGAAAAGAATCCTAAAATATATTAAGGTAGCTACTAATCATTGATAAGTTGCTATAAAAACTACAGGCCTCATTTGTATGGGGGAGAAAATGGAATGACCAACAGATCAGGTAATGGAATAAGGAAACAGGATAAAATAATAAAAAATATGAACATTCCTCATGATTTACATGGAGGTATATATATTTTAAATAATCATAGTTCTTTTTTAAAAGACAATTAATTTTAATAACACTAACAGATATTTTTCTGAAAAAAACCCCTGGTGATTTAACTGTTAGAAAGTTATTATAAACAGTGAAAAAAATACCATCTAGATAATTTCAAAATCCACACTTCATTGGGATTCAGAATTTTTCTCATTTTTTTCTTCTCTCTGACAATATCATACATTACTAAAACGCTCAATATCACTACTTGGAATACTACGAATATATTTATAAGATATTATAGTACTGCTAAAAGTAGTGTATTAAAAAGCTATTCTTGTTTGGGATGATGAAAAATTTTGGAAATAGTGGTGATGGTTACACAACATCCTGATTGTAATTACTGCCACTGACTTTTGCACTTAAAATGGCAAGTTTTAGGTTTTACATACTTTATAATAAAAAAAAAACTTAAAGGAAACAAAAAAAAGCTGTTCTTTTAAAAAAATATTTCTGTCTTCCAACTATTTCTGATTTAAAAGAACCATACTATATGAATGATTATAGCACTTCAGCACAGAAAATTAATTATCATATTTATTCGTGTTATGATCATATGTAAATTATTTGTTTATATAACATAGCTTTTATTTTTATTTATATAAAGTTTCCTACATTCATTAAAAATGTCTGCACTGAAAATAATCATTTAAAATGGTGGCTATGAAGACTAACAGAAAGAAGCAGGCTTACAAAAACAGGTTGTAAAGTTATATTTATCTATTATTATAACCATTAAAACATACATTTGAAATTCAAGCCTGGAAGGTTACTATTCAAAAATAATAGTAATGTTTCAGAATTAGAGGTGACAATTAAAATGGTTTGTTTTCTAAATAAATTATCCTATATAATAAAAGGCTAATATGCAAATTGACTGAAGGGTGGAATGACCGGTTGCTATGATGTGCACTGACCACCAGGGGGCATAAGCTCAATGTAGGAGCTGACCCATGGTGCTCAGTGCGCTCCCACAAGGGGAGTGCTGCTCAGCTATAAGCCCTGAGCCAGGCTCATGGCTGGCGAATGCAGCAGCGGTGGCGGGAGCCTCTCCCACCTCCAAGGCAGCACTACGGATGCCTGACTGCCAGCTTAAGCCGTCAGTTGGACATCCCCAGAGGGCTCCCAGACTGCAAAAGGGTGCAGGTCAGGCTGAGGGAGCCCCCTCCCCCGACTGCACAAATTTCATGCACCGGACCTCTAGTGTTGTTATAAATAAGGAGCAAGCACAAGGTATAATCTGGCTCCTTGTCCAAAATATAAGACTTATGATGGCTATATAAAAGTATGTCTGCCCTGGCCAGGTGCTCAGTTGTTGGAGTATCATCCCATACACTAAAAGTTTGCAGGTTCCATCCCCAGTAGCAGTGAGTACATGAGGCAACTGATTAATGTTTTTCTTTCACATCAATGTTTCTTTCTCCTCCTCCTTCCCTCCCCCATGTTTCCTCTCTCTTTAAAATCAATCAAAACATCTTTGGGTGAGGATTAAAAACTACATATTTCCATATTTCCAATAATTCAAGGCCACATAAAAGGTAAAGCCTCTTTACTGAGTTAGTGAGGGAAATACAAGTTTATGCTGAATTAAATAATTATAAATTCCATTTGTTCATCTTGCTGTGAATATTAGAAAACATTTTGTATAAAGTCATGAAATATATTTAATAAACTTAATGTATGAAACTTTACAGAAACTTTATTTCATTCCAAATAATGCCTTCTTACCCCCTCTGGAAACAGAAAGTAATTTCTAAAGAAATCCGTTACTCAACAACAATTTGGTAACACTAGGCCTAATGGACACATTTACTATTTTTGAGGAGTGAGCTACCTTCATTTTTGTAGCATTTACTAATAAGCACCTATACTTAGTGCTAGGTGTTACAGGTGAATTAGACTTAGGCTCTGGAGTCAAAGTGAGAATACCTAGTGGTAAAGACAGACAAGTAGAAAAGTATAACACAAAGATGAAATCATACTAGTAGTTGTTAATACTAACAAATCCTACATGTTATTTTCTATCTACAAATATTTAAGGATGCGTCTTTTCAAAAATGTAACACCATTATCACAACTAAAATAATTTAAATGAATCCCTTAATACCAATTATCTAGTCAATGTTCAAATTGTCTCAAAATTTCTTATTTTTAATACATTGTTTGAATCAGAGCCCAAATAAAATTGACATATTACAATTAATAAAGTCTCTTCAATATATTTTAACTGAAACATTGTCTATTTTTTCATTTTTGCAATATTTATTGACTACTTCATAAATGTTGAGATGTATCCTAAATAAGATGCAAATAATATTTAACTACCCCCTTTCTTGTGATGTTAGTAAGCATAAATTAACCAGTGCCTAGATTGAGGTGGGAAAACTATGACCTACAAGCTAAATCTGACTCACCATCTATTTTTAACATTTTACTGGAACACAGCCATACTCATTCATTTATGTATCATCTATGGCTGCTTTTGCACCCAAAACAGCAGAGATGAGTAGGTTCCACAGAGACCATTTTGGCTCGCAAAGCTAAAAATATTTACTATCTAGCCCTTTACAGAAAATGGTGACTCCTATGGCCATTAATTCATTAGTCTTTAAAAAATTTGCTCAGTAATTTTTGTATTTTTCAGTAGAAAATCAGTTTTTGTTGGTTTATTCCTAAGAAGTCTGATGCTATAAGCATTATTTTAAAATTCAACTTTATTTGCTACTGATATGTAATTGACTTTTATATATTGACCTTATATCCAGCTATCTTGCTAAACTTAATTATTAATTCTAATTGTTTATCAGTATAATTTTTTTGAAATTTTCAACATATAAAATCTTACGTTTTTATTTTTTATGTTTTAACCTTTATTCTTTCAGTTCTTTTCCTTTGATCACAAAACTGGCTAAAACCTCTAATATAGTTATCCTTGTCTTGTCCCTGATCTGAGAAAGCTTTGAATATTTTACCAATAGGTATATTTGCATAGCTTCTGCTCCTAGCTTTCTATTTCTATGAGTTAAAAAAAAAATCATACATGAATATTGAGTTTTATCAAATGCTTTTTCTGTACCTATTGAGATTATTTTTCTTCTTTATTCAGCTGATACCAAAATTGTGATTTTCAAAGTTAAATCAAAATTGCATTTAAAAATCCAGCTTATCCATTTTTATTTGCCCTTTTTACTTATTGCTGGATTTGCTTTGCTAATAGTGTTTAGAAATTATCTATGTACACGAGTAAGACTAGCCTGTAATTATTTTTTTATAATGCCCTTCAAGGTTTTGTGTCAAATTTATGCTAGCCACAAAATAAGTTAGGAAGTATGCCTTCTATTTTTGGAAAAGTTTGAATTAGATTGGTATACTCCTTCCTTAAATATTTGATAGAATA